AATCAGGTAGAGTGTTAAACTAGAAAATAAGTACCTTTAAATCTAGGGGGAAAGACAAGGGAAAAATATAGAGCCACACAGCTTGAGGGGACAGCACAACAGAGGGAGATACACAGGAGGAGAAGCGGGCAGACAGAGCACACCTGGGGAACACAGCTGAACCAAAGTCAGACTGATGAGACAGGGGAAGAAAAACTAAACATAATACACACGAGACTATCAAAATGGAAGAGGAAGTAACACACAATGAGACTCAGACTAAGACACATGGGCTTGAAACTGGGACTGGGGATAAACAGACATGGAAACGTGACAGATTGGAGAGACAAAGGAGCAAAACACAGAACAGACAGACACGGGTACATGACTGGAGAGACTGAAGGAATGACAAAACACGGATATGAGACTAGGACAGATATGAACAGAAATCAAGAACTATAAATACAAACTTAGAGGCACTGGAAAGTAGCAGGTTGTCCCATTTTACTGTATTGATTTAAACTATTTGCCAAAATGACAGAAATCAAATCCCAGTTAAATGAAAAAACAAAAAAATGTAATGCCCTAATAAAGGTTAATAAAGCTCATTTACATGTGAACTATCCACAAGCCTGCATGGCAAAACACAAACATTTATATCTATAACAGACAAGTCAAATACCTCATTAAAGTAAAGTTATTTACATAACGTAAAAAAAAATAAAATAAAATAAAAAACCAACTAAAACCTTTCTATCATGCTGAATTCATCTGACAAAGATGTAAAGTTTGTCAGTGTCTCTTTAAAGCCCATTTCCAAATGCATTTATAAAATCTTTTAACCAAAGTATTCTAAATTTTATTTGACAAAACAAGCACATTAGTATTTATAAATGATTTCAACTGAAGACATACAAAAATCATAAACAGACAATAGAAAAAAGCTAAAATCAGATCAGTCATAAGAACTTATATGTCCCAAATCGTGTATTCAGTAAAGTCTGCTTTGAAATTTCTTCTTATTACAAACTTTAGTGGGAATAAAATTCCTGCATTTTTCATTTATCTTCCAATTCACAATCAACCAAAAATATCACATAAACATTTGCAAATTTTGTTATTTATAAAGTTTGCCATTATTTATAAATGTTATAATATCACATATGTACTATTATGATGAAAAAATCATTTCAAAGCTGGACATTTATAATTATAATTATATAAAATAACAATAAGAATAAACTTAAATACAGAAAAGTTTTTTTTTTTTAAAGTGTTAGCAAATCTTTAAGGGTTTAATATCTCCATAACTGGTAAATGAAGGATATATGGTTTGTAAGGGAATTAATTGATGATGTCATGTAATTTATACATTTAAAAAATCAAGTATAAAATCCTTACCATCCACAGTATTGAATCTCGACTCAAAATCAATATAGTTTAATAATTACATTTCATATATAAATCTACTCTCACCAAATGTATACACTAGACCACTATCAATCACTGTCCATGTTTTATTGTGGATAATATTTCACACTTGAGTTAGCGTGCTTCTTCCTTTTTCTCTTCTCTTCCTTGCAGTCATTGAAAACCTCAGGCGACAACTCTGGGCAACAATATTTTTCAGTTTTTTTGCATCGGCATAGTCGATGTTTTCCAGTTTTCACCTGCAATGAATCAATGACGTATTATTATGTCTGAAATGATAATGTGAACATTTCAAATGCAATGCTTCATTTACAAATATTAGCAGTCACACCTATTCAAGTAGTAAGTAAGTAAAAATTTTTTATTAAGCGCTTTTCGTAGACAAGCAGTCACAAAGCGCTGTACACAAACGTCAAAATAAACAGAATTTTAGGTACCAAATTAGGCAATATAGACAATACAAAAGTAATACTGCATTCACACTATAGCACAATATTTTTGTGCTATATTTTGAGGGGTTTGTGTGTCCCAGGGATCCCACGGCTATGTTGTCGGGGGCTTTTTGCCCCCTGGTAGGGTCTTCCATGGCAAATTGGTCCTGGGTGAGGGACCACACAAAGAGCGATTCAGAAGACCCCTATGAGAAGACCATCAAGGGAACAGGGTTACCGGTGCCCCGCCCTGGAGCCAGGCCCGGGGAGGGTGCCCAAGGGTGAGCGTCTGTTGGCCGGGACTTAGTCCATGGGGCCCGGCTGGCCACAGCCCGTAAAAGGGGGCATAGGCCCATCTTCCTGCAGGCCCACCACCTGCAGGAGGCACCGTAGGTGTCAGGTGCATCGACCTGGATGGGCGTGACTGGGAGAAACGGCCTGTTATTGGACTTCTGTGCAAACCACAGTTTGGCCATAACGAACACCATGTTCGAACATAAGAGTGTCCATAAGTGCACGTGGCACTAGGACACTCAAGGCCGCAGGTCAATGATCAATTTTGAAATCGTATCATCAGACCTAAGGCCATATGTTCTAGACACTTGGGTAAAGAGAGGGGCTGAGCTGTCAACTGATCACCACCTGGTGGTGAGTCGGATGTGGTGGCGTGTGAGGACACTGGACAGACCTGGTGCACCTAAACATATAGTGAGGGTGTGCTGGGAACACCTAGCAGAGGCCCCAGTCTGTGAGATCTTCAACGCACACTTCTGGCAGAGCTTCAACAGCATTCAAAGGGAGACTGGGGACATTGAGTCTGAATGGACCATGTTCAGCATCTCTATTGCCAAAGCCACTGCACTGAGCATGCTGCTGCAAGTTGCTTGGTGCCTTTCGTGGTGGTAACTCCTGAACCAAATGGTGGACACCAGAGGTGAGGGGAGCCACCAAGCTGAAGAAGGAGTCCTATTGAGCTTGGTTACCCTCTACAATGTTGCGTGGAGATCAGGGGCAGTACACCTGGATTGGCAGACCGGGTTGGTGGTTCCCATCTTTAAGAAAGGGGACCGGGTGATGGCCTCAAGCTCGCTTTGGAACGGTTCGCAGCCAAGTGTGAAGCGGTGGGAATGAGAATCAGCACCTCCAAATCTGAGGCCATGGTCCTTAGCCAGAAAAGGGTGGAGTGTGCACTATGGGTCAGGGATGAGTTCTTTCCCCAAGTGGAAGAGTTTAAGTATCTCGGGGTCTTGTTCACGAGTGATGGGAGAAGGGAGCGGGAGATCAGGAGACGGATTGGTGCTGCGGCTGCCGTGATGCAGGCGCTGTACCAGTCTGTTGTGGTGAAGAGAGAGCTGAGTGTAAAAGCGAAGCTTTCAATTTACCGGTCGATCTACCTCCCTACCCTCACCTGTGGTCACGAGTTGAGGGTAGTGACCAAAAGACAGAGATCACGGATACAACTGGCAGAAATGGGCTTCCTCTGAAGGGTGGCTGGCCACGCTGAAGAGATTATATCTCTTGGCTGGCCTGGGAATGCCTTGGTGTTCCCCCAGACAAGCTGGAGGAGGTAGCATGGGAGAGGGACCTGGCCTCAAATAAGAGGAAGAAGATGGATGGATGGATGGATGGATGGATGGAGTTTTCAGTATGCTAACTACTATGTGAAAATCAGTATGCTCTGGTAAAGCTTTGATAACCTTTCTTGGATTTTACTGTTAAATATTCCTGGCTGAAAAAAAGCTAAAAAAAAATTCAAATTGTATTGTGTGTTGAATATATGTATAAATTACTTGTGTGTTGTATCTATTACAAGAATTCTTTGTCCTTTACTTTTGAAAGTTGTCATTTTTTAAGCAACCTAATTGCAAAAACTGATTAAACAGTATGTGGTATGAGAAAAATGTAAAACTTGTTACTATTGCTGGAAATAGCAATATGTTTTTGTTTAAATCAATACGGGCATCTGTACTACCATAAGGTCTACATTCACACAAGCTTATCTCTGGGAATGATGTGTTTAAATGAAAATATTAATATTTTCTAAATAATATTCTAAATTTAAAAAAACTTTAAAGCATTTACATTTGTTTCTCAGTATCAATCCTAAGAACTTAACAGTGCATGTAACTTATCAATACAACATAAGGCATGTACTTATAAATAGGCTATAGTTCAGACATGTATATAAACTATATTTTTATATGCATGTATATTCCTCTTCTTTCAGCTGCTCCCTTTGGGGGTCACCAAATTGAAATGTGATGCAGTTAACTATGAAAGGAAAACTCAGTAGACCTACATGCTTCTAGTAACTAAAGTTTCATGACAAAACACATAAGTGTAGGTTTAAGTACCATTGCGTTACAGAGGAATTCTAGAGTTTCTTTTCTGTTTTGGTCAGTCACTGCACGCATGACATGAGCAACACATAAATGAAGTAGGAACGTATAAAAGGAAGGAAGCTCAAAGCTCTTTTAATAGCATGCTGATTTGCACTGTGGCAAACCACCAAATACACAGAAACGCCAACTCACTTGCACAGAAGTAACAAGAACATAAAGAAAAATGTGTGACCATTGCTCAAAGTTCAGCCTATTCAATGGCTCGTTCAAACTTCTGATTCATGTTTGAGATTGTGTGCTACGCAGATTTTCCTTAACCTTGATGTCCTTAAATGAGCAAAACTATAGAAACCCTTGAAACCTCAGCTGACTGCTAAATATAATTTCACAGTGAATCACACACCCGTCTGTGTTTTAAGTTGGGGCTGGAAGGCTAACAGTAGGTTTAAATATATTTAGTGTCTACGTACATATTTAGGTTTCCATTGACTTTCCCACAAAAATTTGGTCTTACTAGCCACCTATTTGGGGAATAATAGTGCATTTTTGGTCTATAATGGTGTTTACTTTACTTACTATATATGTAATTTCAAATAAATAAGTATAAATAAGCATTTAAATAAATAAAAGTTTGTGTCTTAATAAATAAAATCATTATAACAAGTGTGTTGGACAGATCCTTTGAAGTAAAGACAAAACAAAACCAAGTAGAAACAGGAGGAACACATGGCAAAAAACCACAGGGACATGAGAGGACATTGCAGACTTGTAAGAAGAGATAACGAGCAAAACCTGACAGTGGTGGACTCAGATAATATCAGTAGGTTACATTTTTCCAGGGAGTCCACTGACTCCAGTTGGAGAGCACCAGTGAGTCTCTGGAGCGAACCCTGAGCTTGCTGATTTTCTTTGGTATCAGAGTAGATGATGAATGTCCGGTCTAAAATCAGACAAGAGATAAGAGATCAAAATGCAGTGGCTATAATGACAGACATTTAGATCTCATAAGATTTTGTTTTAGTGTAAGATTGTGCATACTTGGCCATCATCTCTAAGCACATATTCAATTTGGTGCTCCAGACTGAAGAAGCTGTAAGGTGCTGACCAGGTGGATGGTGGAGCAATGGTCACATTCACGTCCTCGTTCACTAACTCACACTTGACAATCTGGGGACTGTCAGGTTGAACTAAGAAGAAGAAGAAACAGTAAATAATATCGTCCATGTGTGTATATAAAACAATAATTTAAACACAAACATATGTGTATATATATTTAACATGAATCCATTTGCCTTTAGATTCAGTTAATGCATTAACGTTACTGTTTCACTTAAAACTTTATCATGCATGGACTGCATACATAGACTTTCTTTTTCATCAGAAAATGTTTTCAAAAGGGAAAAGATGCTTTGTAGTTGATAGTCTTCTACTGAATGCCATTGATGTAGCTCAGTTTTACTCAGCTTACCAATGTCTCTGAGATAAAATCTCTTCGATGTCCTGAAAACGGACTGTTCACGTATAGCCTCAGCAGTGAGTTCAAGCATGGTGCTTTCCTCTGCGTAGGGTGAGAGGTCGTGAGACATCTCAAACTGCAGTTCCCCCTCTGCGAGCCACCGACTGCTACTAATCCACTGGCAGGACTCTGAACTTTTACTGCTAATAAAACAAGCAGTAAAAAAAAAAAACAGAAAACAAAATATAACAAAAAAATCAAAAATACACACATCTCAGGTGATTCGTCTAGTTTGGGCATCTTAACTGTAATTTGTCTAGGTTATTATTTCTTTTTAAGTTTTAAAATTTACCAGTTATGACCCAGTCCAAGACGCACTGCTGTGTATCCATTGCCTGTCCAAGTGCAGTTGAAGTTACAGTCATAAGACTTTGCCCGACAGTTAATGAGAGAATCTGTAATGATAAACAATATCTTTAAATTCTAAAGTAATTTAAATGTTTGGGTGAAAAATGACAGCAAACATCACTACATTTTGTAAAATGATACTTCACAGAATGGTTAACTTAAAGCCCTAATCTCACCTACTAGAGAGAGAGAGAGAGTGTTTTACCCAAACTGTCAGGCAGTATAAAAGTGTCTTTATTAGTGCTATATGTTGACTGTGTATTAGCAATATAGGTTCCCCTAGTTGAAAAAGTCCCATCATTTAGAGCATGTGAATGGTAGGATGAATGAAAAATGAAAGAGAAACTCACCAATTGTGTCTTCTTCATCAGCCTTCAGCAGCAGATAGGTTGAGGATAGCATCTCTTCACCTCTCCAGCAACTGTAGTCACCCAAATTTGGTGTACCTATATCTGACACGGTCAGGTTCTGACCATTTAGCTCTACATTTTCTTCATCTTCCAGTGGATCGCCATTCAGCTTCCATGTGACGATGTCGTCAGGTTTTGAATTGCAGGTCAGTGTGTAATTTTCATTCCTGTTTGCCACCGCAACTACACAAAGATAGAGAAGATAGACAGATAGATAGACAGAGAAGAAGTTAGTAGGTGAACATTTTAAACCACAAATGAATATTAGGAAAATGTTTGGATCATAAAAAAAGACATACAGTTTTCTGGAAAGTGGTTGAGTTCGTGAGCTCCCGTGAGGCTGATCATTAGAAGCCCAAATGTCCACAGTGGAAAGGTCATCTGAGGAATTGTGTGACAGCAAAAAGCATTTATTGAAAAACAATTCATCACTTGCATTAAAATAAGTATCGTGTGATTTTTAGTGAAACAATATGTAAAGTGACTCATGGAACATTCAATTGGCTCAAAGTTAATTTAGTTGAGAAAATGCATTGAAAATAGGTAATTTGCTTCTTATTCTGTAATATAGATATGAAATTAAACTAACTAGAATTTAATTTATATATATGTATAGATAGATAGATTTATATCTGGAAAAGAACTCACCCTGAAGTGATGTCAAAAGCAAAAGTGCAGACGTTCTGTCACCGCGATCTTGATGATTGTATGGTCTAACTGCCCACAGAGCAACAACTTTATATTGCGATGCATGATACACATCATCGACACCTCCACCTCCAATGTGACACTTTGGGAGAGAGAAACTGACCGATCTAGTAAGTGATAAGAGTATGCACATTTCCTCTATACTGCTTTGCATGTCAAATTTTTTTACACAGTGAAGCTGTGACTTTCGTACAGGGGACTAAAAGATAAGAAATGTGGGTGTTCAGTAGGGTGGGGGGTTGCCCTTAGCCTTTAAGGTGAAATACAACAGTATAATACAATGTTTGATAAGTGCTTATCTGAGAATGGATTAAAAAAATTATTTTTAAAAAACTATTGCAATCACAAAAACAGGACACACAACACATTTTATGTTCAATATTAATGCGACCAAACATTTTCTTGGTTGGCTCTTTATGTGCTAACACGCACACAGACACACTGGTTCCTGCTTCTCAACTTTCAGTTTTTATGTTGGTTTTTTTATATAACCAGGGCTGTAAATGTGGGGCAATAGCACTCCTTGGTATCAGTCTATGCAACCTGTGAATAGAACAAAGAAGCACTGATCTTTCAGTCATCAAAAGCTAATGTAATACTATAACATAAACAACATTTTTTTTAATTCAAAGTCTTTTGAGAACAGGCTCAACCCTATTGACATTAATAAATACAGCTGGTAGCAAAAAATATATCAGTCACTTATGATTTAAAAAAAATAAAGCAGAATAAATGTGACATTTATGACTAGTAACCACCCTTATCTGATCAGACAAACCTGGGCTAAAGGGTGCATTTTTTCTGTATTGCTCTGAATCACATGCTGACTTTGCTACTGATGTTAAGAAATCCATGATCCACAGTAAATGCCTGTTTTTATAGTGTTTCTCACAAAACAAGCCGCTAAAAAATGTTACAGAGAGGTTACGAGAACAAGCTATTTCCACTATTTCCTCGCTCTTTGCAGTCAGAATGATTGCTCAGCTCATTGCAAAACATATTGTGAGATTAATCCAACAAAATTGCAAAACATAAGTGGAACATTTCTTTTTATTAGCTGCTTATATGTACACTGTCTTTATTGTAATTCCAGACTGAAATACCAAAAAAATGATCTAACATTTCTTTGATCAGATAAGCAAGACAGACCAAAACTGTTCTTTAAGAGGTTTCCCCCCATGATATTATCGTCATGCTCCCAAAACCTCAAAAACATGCACACACATTACACCGGAAAGGAAAGACGGACACAAAACAGGACTTTCCCTCTCATTAGTCATGTAGACCAAATGTCAGCTATGACCTAACTAGACCTTTAACTAACACTTTGGTCATGTTTTTTATTCTCGCACATACTATGCACACATCAAATGCTCCCGTCATATCTTTAACTATGTGAAAGGTACTTCCACAAAACTGTAGAGGGCTGTATTATTATTGGGTCTCAAAAATCTTTTCTGCCTTTCTACATGCTGGTTAAGGTTAACAGAACCTATGTCCAATAAATTCAGAGAAAATTGTTAGGCACTTTGAAAAGAAATCGTTTCAGGTTTCAGTTCCTCAAAAACCTAAAAAGCCATATTATTCATTAATCATCTTTCATGCATGACTTCAAAGAGCTGCATAGTCACAGTTGCTCAAATTATTTCATACTTTGTGTTTTTACAGTTTATCATACAATACTTGAACCTAGTTTCTACGACTGAACTTAAAGCTTATTTTGATCAGTTATTCATTTAATGTGTATATATTACATTTCAACTTCAGCTTAAGAAATTTACAACTAAAATGTTTACTTACTAGTAATTGGACTTTAAAGGTCAATCAAAGCTCATAAAATAAGGTAAAGTTTTAAAGTCCCAGTTAATTCAGTGTTACTTCCGCATGAACCCCAAAACTGAAAACATTTGTATCCACTCCACATTCAAAACTGTGCCAAGCTCTGAGATCACGTCAGTCCAGATAAGATTCTGACAAACAGAAAAAAAAAAACACTATGTCAAGTGTTTTGTCAACATATTAATAGTGATTAAAAAAAATTAAAGAACAGAAGTACACAACACTGAAGAGGAAAGAGATGTTTTTTTGCTGTAAATGAGTGGAATTCTCTAACTTTATAGACCACATGTTCTATTTACATTAGTGATGGATGCCTTTTATTCTGAATAGAAAAAAACAACAAAAAAACACTTAAACACACTGGGGAATCCAGAAGAGGGGCTTAATGTGGTACTTTCCATATTAAGAGGAACAACACTGCCTGTTTATAGAAGCATATACAGGTATTTTTCTACCCTGAATGTGTTTGTTTTTAACCTTTAGGATTATCAAACAACTAGAAAGAGGTAAATATCATTTCTGCCTACACATGCCTCCTAATAGGTTACACACTTAACATTAGACTTTGTGTTTGGCCGCAAGCATTTCAAATGTACTGTGGGGATAGCAAAATACTTTTCTTTTGAAATTTGAAAAAGAACAGCCAAAGCATATGATAAATGAGAAAAGTAATTTTTATTACATGATTCATTCCACCATAACATTTTTCCACGTGTGGACATCACAATGCAGAAGAGGCAGCGTGAGAAATAAAAAGGTTTGCACATTCCACTTAAATAATTTCACTCGTACTGCAGAACAAGTGACACGAAGGGCTTCGTAAAAGCTTCCATAAAAAGCTGATTTTACTTGTTTTATACCAACTGTAACACTTTGTGAACACAAAGCAAAAACAGATGAACAAAGCTGATGAACCTTCTGTGCCAAAGCACGGCGAGCCAGAAGGTTTTCCAAAATGTTTGCTGGTGGTTGTTAGTTTGCTTCATCCTTTGAAGCCTCATCAAAGTTTTCAACGAGATCTGAAAATGGAAAAGGGAGAATAGAGAGGGGTGTATAGCAGATCAAGACAAAAAAACAAAACCGTTGCCCAAGTAAGAATAAGCCCTTAGACTTAGAATTGGTGGCAGAAGCCTGCCTTACACTCATATCCACATATGTTACTAAACATTTTAAACCAAATAAGGGGACATATATCCCATGTGATCAAGTCCAGGATAGACAGACTTGAATATGATGGTTATATTTTCTTACCTGGAACTTCATCATCTTCCTCTTCAGCAGCAACCATGGGAGCTTTGTTGTCTCCTGGTGTTTAAGAATGCGGGGAAGGAGGAAGACAAAGATGTTGAGAGAAAGAATTCAAATCTACTGCAAACAAACAGGTCAAGAAAAGAGCAGTGTGGGCACCTGGTTTAGGCAGATTCTCTGCTAATCTCCGGAGGCTGGTGAGACTGTCAGCTCCCAGCTGGTTTAGGATTCCCGGGAGCATCTCTGTGATCTGTTTGTTCTCAGCGTGTCCTGTGATTGTAAAAGTGTTGGCAGCCAAGGAGGCCTGAACCTTTGGGTTATTAAAGTGGATCACTGTCCCGTGGTTTGTGAACATATTCACCTGAAGTGGTGGTGGGGTGGGGAGTGGGGGAAGAAAACAGTTTAAGGTAAGTGTAAAAGAAGACAATGCACAGTCCAAACACCCTTTTCCAACCATCTCTCGGGTCCTCATCAGCTGACAACAACTGGTTTCCACTCAGATGGCTTACACCACAGATTCTCTTTTATTTCCTTAAAAAAAAAAGCTTATCTAAAATGTTGTTTTGTTCCTCAGAACCAATGAAGTTTAACATTTAAAAAGTACTTCAGTATCTTAACATTGCTTATTAATAAATTTCAGCACTATAAATCCATTAAATGTGAATGACTGCCTATGCTGTGCTGTACATTACAGAAAGAACCTGCTGTACCTCTTCAATGCCAGAGATATTGTTGACTCCCAGTTTCTTCAGGGAAAACTGCAGCTTCTTATCATCTGCTGTAGCCGTTCTGTGCACCACCTTCTTCTTTCTGCGAGCTGACCCCTAAAGAGCAGAAACGTTAGCGTCGATTTTAACTCACGACTCAAAGATTACACCCAGTCTCTAGCATATGAAACCGACTCACCTTGCCGCCTATGCGGACCTGAGCCTGCAGTTTGGCAAGCTTTTCCTGGTTCATTATCGACTCCTTCATCTAGTGTTAGACACAACAGATATATATAATAAAAGGTAGGTTAGTCTGGCTGTAAACAGTTCTTTTTAGTGTTTCCAGAAATTACTGTAGAATCTTTGTATCTTAGAAAAGTTGCCAAGGAAAGCCACCTGGGATTCAGTGCCAAGTGCCTTACTCACGAATGTCAGTCATTTGGGGGAAAAGAAAAGAAAAATCTCCCTTGACACAATTACTCAGAACTAAATTTGGTTAACTACTCATTTTTCATTTAGAGGCTGAGCAAGATGTGGGACTCGCGAAAATATAAAACATGCAAGTTTGTATGAAGGATCTCTCTGGATACGCTTATGACTAACACAAAAGCAATTTCTAAAACTATACGCCATCAATCGATGACATAAAACATGAAAACGGTAATAACGAAGTGCCAACTTCAAACTTCCCCAACTCCCGACCTGAGCTATGTTGTCTCAAGAAATTAACGAGAATGCACAACTGTCCCGGCCAAAAATAGCTGTACACCACAAGTCTCGGCTGAAGCCCTTCATGAATCAGAGGTGGTCAGCTGAAGTCAGTGCCCTGAAACGTCATAAACCCGCTTTCCCAATATGTTCTTACGATGCAAACTTCTGCTTTTTGATCAAACTCTGACGGCATGACACTTATTTAGTCTAACAATATTCACAAATTATGTCAAAGGAGCTACCGGCTAGTTAGCAATTCGAGCTAAACAACTAGCCCAGGCCTCTTAAACTGATGTTAGCATTCAGGTACAGCTGATGCCTTCATTGCGTTAAAACCCGTAATACAACTGTGGAGGGGATGTTCAAACGTCAGGAGTCAAACTTTATGAGTCTAAGACATCTAAAAGGAGTAGACGGTAGCGAACTAACCTGAGAGTGTGTAAACACGCGGGTCACACCGTTGATAAGGGACAGGAAAAAGGAGCGAA